ATCAAGAGTCTAAAAAGAAACAGAGGCACTTTACTAAGTTTTTTTTTTTAGCAGTCTTGGAGGTTCCACCATATTTTGTTTTTAATCTTACTTTTTTGTCAGATCTGTTAACCTTTCTCTACTTCACGGTTTATTCTCCCCCCCCAACCCACCAAAAATGGTGACAAATGACCTTGCTACTTTCTGAAATTCACATACAAAAAACAGGTCTCTATTCATTTTCAGATAATGTTATTAACTCACTTGTCTCCTGTATTCAGGCATTGGATTATAAACCATCCAACCATTTTCAGCAAACTTTTCTTCATTTACAAATGCAAAAAAAGGCTGTAAGAGGGAAGACAAAAGAATTAATCATAGAATTCCAACTGAAGGTAGCTACGCAAGAAAGACCCTCTCTCATCATGTCCCAAATGACTAGATCAATTCTCTGTGTTGCTACCCCCATTGTATGTTCTAGTGAAAGTTGAGGTGCGACAGATGAATGTAAAACAGAACTTTTTGTATTGTACTCTAGGTATTCACAAAATCTCGAATGAAACAATGTAAATTTGACAAATAAATAGAGTTTTAAAATAAATTTTTAAACAAAAAGTTTGAAAAAAAGTAATACAAAACTTGAAAATAAGGAGGGTGAAAACGGTAAGATGATTTTTTTTTTTATACTTTAATCCAAGCAGATGACTCCTTGAGCTATTTTAAAATTTTGTACATTCCAGGTAGTTTCATATTCCACCCAAAGTAAACAACTTCTTTTCTAATAATTGTCAATGATATTATTACTCAAGACATTAGATACAAACATGAAGGCGGGACAATAGATTGGGTTGTTGCTGATGTTTATAAAGTCATATAGCAACTTCAGGACAAAGGAAGCAGTTTATCTTTCAGTAGCTTTAATACCGAGTTGGAAAAGACTCCTTAATTTTTATAAAAGCTGGCTTTCTATAGGTTATGCAGCTCAATGATTCAATACAGCTAGGTTCACCTGTTTTGAGAAACATTCATACTTGTTTAGAATCCTCTTACATAGGATTCCTACAAGTAACTTCATAGTACCCTTTAACTCCTGTTTACTTCCTTGTTTTGACCACCTCCAAGTTGGTAACATGCTACATAATTCCTTGCTTTTAACAATCATTGCAATGGTTGCGTGGACTCAAAGCACCTCCGTCAATGTGAAAAGCAATGAATCTGTGGTATATCAACTACTGTTAGGCCAGCAGGAGCAAGAAACTCAGAAATGGTTTTATGGACCAAGGACAGGCAGTGAGAGAAGAAGTGTCAGGATGTTGCCTTGAGATAGCTGTAGAACAGCTGTAAGGGGAGAAGAGGGTCAGAACAATAAGGCAAGAAATCACCTTGCTACTCATATGAAAACATTTAGAAAAGATAAACTTGATGTGGGATCATCAAGCCTCTCAGAGATGTGCAGATCACACTTACAAGTCTAGAGCTGGACTAATCACAGCCTGACACACAGTAATTGGAACGGGGAGGGTGGCGGGGGGGGGAAGCCCTGGTAGATAAGAAATAAGCTCCTGAAATTAGATAACTGCATCTCAGGAGGTTAAGGAATTCTTCACAAATGTGCCATACGTACAAGTGTGCATGGGCTTCTTCAATAAGCGAGTCCTTCCCTTGAACAGCCTGAGCTGCAATGAAGCTAGGACCTACAGCCTTCTGTTGCTTGAGGCAACCAGATATTTTTGGTGAACTCAGGCCTGACGTGTTGCACATGTTTGATTTAAACAGTCACTTATGAGTAAAAGATTTAAAATGGAATCCTGCAACAGGAAGAGTGGTTTTCATTTCCCTAAACACACATTCTACCTCAGACTGACAAACCTTAAAAATTAGTTATTACACATACATTGTAACTGCTTGTACTATTTAAGAAAATACTGCATCTAACCCATTAGAACTGGGAACTATAACAGCTTAAGCGCAACAAAATTACGATCAGATTGGTATTCAGTTCCAAATTAATTCGCAGACAACTTGGTAAAGAAAATAGTTACACTTTCCCTCTTTATACATGGCAGCCTTCAATATGAGTAAACTTTAAATAAATTTTGATTGAAGTTGATTGTACTAATTAGGGGGCACGTCTCAAGAAAAAAAAGTTCTACTAGAAACAGAAGTGAATATTCGAAGGTAAGCAGAAGAACTGTAAAAATAATTGAACAACAAAAACAGAAGCGCTCAAATCACTGAAGTATGTGCACTGAACTCATAGCACATGTCCATTTTAAAGTGGTAATTTATTATACACAAAACATGATCTATCTTTCTTAAGAATCCACCCAAGGGCCTATCATAACAACACAGAAAAGGGTAATTTTAAACTAGAGGCTGAACAAAAATACCGGAAATGTGAAGATGCCTTAGATTGATCTTTTAAAACAGGAGTTTGTTGCTTATTCGAGGTGACCCTTAAATGCAGGTTTCACTGGAAAATTAAAACATTCCCCAGTTCAATCACTGAGAAATAAAATAAGAATGAGCTGCCAGCAATTAAATATTCCTAACGCTGATAAGTTTCCTGTTAAAATAAATCAAGAAGCTGGTGACCCAATCTAGGGCCTGGTCCCCACTAAGCCCCCACTTCCGACTAAGGTACGCAAATTCAGCTACGTTAATAACGTAGCTGAATTCGAAGTACCTTAGTCCGAACTTACCGCGGGTCCAACTCTCGCCAAGCTGGAGTACCGGCGTCGACGGCGAGCACTTCCAGGATCGATCCGGGATCGATTTATCGCGTCTAAACCAGACGCGATAAATCGATCCCAGAACATCGATTGCCTGCCGCCGGACCCTCCGGTAAGTGTAGACGTACCCTAGAAGTAGCCATGTTGTATGTTTCACCATCAAAATAACAAAAAAATCTTTTTCAGATGTAGCATGACATAGGGAAACCCTTATTTTAATTTCAAGTTTCAAAACTAAAATGAGAAAACTGTCCGTAGAGGGGATGAATGCTTACAATGGGAAAAAAGATTTCTTTAAAGCAGGACTCTGTGCTCCTGTGCGTATTATGTGTCATTCAGGTCTTATTTTGAAACATCTAGATATACAAATTCTAGTCTCTTTTTGTTAGAACAACAAGATGCTCTAAAACTTTAAGAGAGCAACCACAGAAGTTTAAGAACATGGTATTTAGAAATAAGTTCCCTTTAGGAGTCAAGTGAACAACTATTAACTAAGAGTTTACAAACTGAGAAGAAATCTAATTAAACAATTGATAATGTTCACCTTTCGGGACTTGTAGACTTTACTAGGTAACCTTAGAAAAGCTAGAATATAAGCAGTCAATTGAATTGTGCCAAAAATCTGCTGTATCTCATTAAAATATATAACAGCACAACACAATTATGAAATGCAATGAAGACATGAAGCTTTATAAGAGTATGGAATGAAGGAAACGTTTGGGGCTTTTCAATATATTTATCTGAACTATCCTCTAGGACAGGGGTCGGCAACCTTTGGCACGCGGCTCGCCAGGGTAAGAACCCTGGTGGGCCGGGCCGGTTTGTTTACCTGCCGCGTCCGCAGGTTCAGCCGATCGCGGTTCCCACTGGCCGCGGTTCGCCGTCCCAGGCCAATGGGGGCGGTGGAAAGTGGCGGCCAGCACATCCCTCGGCCTGCGCCACTTCCCGCCGCCCCCATTGGCCTGGAGCAGTGACCGCAGCCAGTGGGAGCCGCGATTAGCCAAACCTGCGGACGTGGCAGGTAAACAAACCGGCCCGGCCCGCCAGGATGCTTACCCTGGCGAGCCGCGTGCCAAAGGTTGCCGACCTCTGCTCTAGGAGGAGAATCCCAGCATGCTACATGCTTTCAAAATAAATTTTAGGTCTGCTATAATATTTTTGGTAAAAGATGAAAGGATTTTAAAAGTGGAGGCCTACTGTGCTTTTGTATCCTTACACAGGAGTTGAATAAGCTATTACTAAAAAGCATATATTGTACATATATCATCCGAATTATAGGTCTGGTAACTATCAATGATCTTACTCATTAGAGAAGAAAAATGTGGTAGAGATTGCTTTAATAAGCTAAACATTCCCCCTCTGCCTTCCACTTAAGCTTTTTCTTTTTAAAAGATTAGACACTATAAGAAGACAAAAGAAGTTAAATACTAGTGTTTAAAACCAAATATAGTTCATTCTCCACTGTCACCTCCACTTTCATCCTAGGCCTTTCTTACGGAGCAAAATACATGAATATCCAAAGCAGAACAATTTCAAGACAGTGAATTTGCTTCCTTTTTCAATCTCTAATAAACATAGGCATGACCATTTCACAAGCAGTAAACGTTTTTGAAGTCTTTTCTCAGTTAATCTAAATTATTTTTATTCATCCCCATACAAGGGCCTTCATTATAGGGATGATTTAGTTAGGATTGGTCCTGCTTTGAGCAGGGGGTTGGACTAGATGACCTCCTGAGGTCTCTTCCAACCCTAATCTTCTATGATTCTATGATTAACTGAGCTAAAGATTCTTGACTGCATATTCCACCAATGCATACCATAAATGCTTATTGCCTTGCCTTTAAAGTCATTTGTCTCCCACCGACACTTCTCATCAGACCTCTTTCAGTTAGAGCTGGGCAAAAATTTTCATTGAATAGTTTATTTAATGAAAAATATAGTTTTGGCCAACTTGAAACTATTAGTGAATTGGTGACACTACTGAAACATTTTGATTTTGGGGACTGGAATCAAAGTGGCCAGAGGTGTCAGAGAAGGAGGAGGTGGCAGTAGCGTCATCCTTATAACTTTTAACTCAGTGGTTAGGACACTCACCAGGAATGTGGGAAACCTAGGTTCAATTCCCCCCTCTGCCTGACGTGGAGCAGGGATCTGAACTTGAGTCTCCCACATTGCAGTACAGCGCCTGGGCCAGGGAAGCCTGGGGATTAGGGCACTCACCTAGGATGGGGAGGACCCAAGTTCAAAGCCCCTAATCCAATGGACTGTTTATTTATGCAAAGTGAAGCAAGTACACTACAAAGACTCTGAAACCACCTCAACATTTTTTTAAAAGTCCAAGATTTTTTGCAGTCTGACATGATTTTTCATGATTGGCTTTGGCAATACAAATAAGACAGTTCCTTCCCTAAAAAGCTTAAAACCTAAATAAATAAATCCACTAAGGAAACCAAATAGGCAGATGAAAATATTTTCACTGATTAGAGCTAAAGCACTAACGGTGTATCCATCACCACAGAAATTGTGGGCAAGGGAAGGAGTAGGAGAAACATAGCATTTTATGAAAAAAGCTTTCAACAAACTTTTGACATTGGTAAAATTTTTTACACTTATTAC